AATTTAACAAGGCATTTATAGCGCAAAATTTTTGTATTACGATGCAAATTTTATCGCTGACATATTTTTTTTTACTAACGTAGCGAATCTGACAAATATGCGGAAACTACCACATTGTTAGAAATAATTGGCATGATACAACATATTCCGATATATAGTTTACTTGAACGAGATATAAACACTTACTATTTTAGAGAGCTTTACTATTTTAATTATTTTTCAATCGGATGCTTTTTCCGAAAAGATATATTTTTAAAATATATTTAAATAAAAAAATATACATACGTTCAGAACAAATAAATCACGTTTATACGTGATATTAAGATATTCGAGAAATCGACACAGCGCAGCGATCAGTAAACGAAACATGCTGTACGTGCATCAGCTCGCAATTAGTTTTTAATAGTTATTTCCTCAATGCACATCATCCGGTCGTTTACTCGCCGTATGTATCGCGGAACATAACTTTCACGTTCTGAAGAAACTATTACTGCTATCTCCCGAAGTCGTCATAAACGTGTTCCAACTTCCAACGAGAACACTTGTTTTCTTTATGGATTTTTTTCTTTCTTTTTCTAAGCAGCTTGTTGTCAAGTCGACAATCCATCAACTAACATATCCTTTGAAGGAAAGTTACTTTCCTTGAGTGAGCGACTTCGCATTGAACTCATGGCGTAATTGTTGAGATTTTGAAGCTACGTGTGTTTAAGGAAGGAATAAGTTAAATTCTATAATTAGAAGTTAATCTTCTCTCGAGCCTCCGTTTTGCAACGGAAATCAAAATAATTGTTTTGCAGAAAGACTGATGAAAAATTGTTTTCGTAAAGATGAATCTTCGTCTAAAAAAATGAGATATATTTCAAACAGATTTTTTTTTTCGGAGAAAGAGAGCTGCAAGAAATTATTAAACAACCTTTTCTTTAGATAAAAGCCGAGAAATTTTTTTGTTTATTTTTGAAGATTGTGAAAGTACGGCGCGCAATTAATTGTTACTTCAATACAACGTACCATCGATATTATATCGCTTATCGCTTATTTGATAAAAAGAACGACATAATTTAAAAATTATTTTTGATAATGATAAGAAATCAACTCTAAAAGTGTATATTTTTGTTAGAAAATTATATACATTTGCAACTCTTTCAATTTATAATATAGAGAGTAATGATTGTTTTTAGAAAAAAAGACATTTTTTTGAATTAGATATCGCGAAGGAATATTATCGGTATTATCGGTAATTATAGACGAACGTCTTCTATTTGAAATATGTCATTTTTCCTTAAAAAACTCTCTCTCTCTCTCTCTCTCTCTCTCTCTCTCTCTCCTGAAACATTGTTTCAATTCAGAATTAAAAAAATGCTTTCCTGGAAGTTTACTAATTTTCAAGTATATCACTTTTCTATCAAAGCGATGTGTCAGCAAATGCATTGTACGTATTGTAATGTATGTACATTAAAGATTGAAAAGATAACAGATGGATCAAATTTTTCTAGGTATTGTGACAAGTATCAAATCTTTAATATATTAATCATTACCGAGGAAGATTACATTCTCGACAGAACTAGAGTATTTAAAAATTTAAATTACTGCTTATGCAAAGAAAAATAATAAAATATTCTGACCTGAGACCTTTCCTCTTTTATGTGGATGATAAATCGAGAGAGGATGTGAAAGCTCTTTAACAAATAACGGGAAAATCGTACATTCTTGATTAAAGTCTAAGTATTTAAATTCCCAATAACTCATGACGCAGCGTTTCTCCTTTTACACGCGAACCAAATCAGGGAATATTAATGACACAATGAATACTAATGATAATGACCTATTAGTAACTAATGAAAATGACCTATTAATTATACAAGTAATCTGCATTGCACAAATATTAATAATAAAAAATTATTTAACGTTATTGCTTGAATCTTTATCACAATATAATTATCATACGGTCATTAAGTACTGTATGATACGTGACAATGTGAAAACTTTCGAAAGGAGAAGCATAAATAGGCAGAAATAAGAGAGAGAAATCTTTGAATTTTTCGTTAAAGTAGGTATATATACTTTGATCTTCATTCAAGTGCGTCTTGCTTGATAGATGTATCTTTATGAAACAGACGACAGCAATACGAAGCTAGCGAAAGCTAATGAACACTATAAGTACAAATCCAAGTACAAATCCGTATAAATGATTCGATAAATCTGTAATAAACTTATTAATAAAAACTTATTTCTAAAATCTTTTTAGAGAGAAAATAAGAAAGAGCAAGAGAGAGAGAGAGAAGCACCCATATTTATGATAATTGTCATAAATAAATCATATTAAAATTAGTTATTAATGAGAAATTTATTTTTAAGATTGACAAAAATATTATAAATGTTAAAACAAATGTCTCGCATGGAACATTTAATTTTTTTATATCATTCAATTATCATGCTATTAGTATACATATATTTATATCAATTATAAACGGATCGATCAGAGAAATGATCGATCGAATTGAAAAATTAAATCAGCATTGATTCGATATTGTTCAACTAATCATTTATGGAATATAATTATTCATGTCGACATACTTTTATTTTAATTTACTTGTTACGCTTTGAAATACTTGAATAATGATTTATATATCAGTCATTTATAAAGTTTATTAACGTTTCATTTAATAATTAATATATATATATATTCAAACAAAATGTCTCCTTTAATTTTGATATTTTAAATATTTTCAAAATTCATATTTTTTTGCACGTTGCAAGAATAATATAAAAATATTCCTTTTTTAACACTGAATTTAATATTTTAATCTATCTTGATAATATAATTTTCAATTTTATTAAATTTTTTTCAATTATTTATCGTAAAACATTGCGTAAGTAACAACGTAGCACTTGAAATATAAAATTAAAATGTTTTATGTTGCAAAATTGTTAAATGCTTACCTAAGATTTTGAAGAATTAATAAGGATTGCACAACAGCTAAGTTTGCAAATATGATATTGCGACATTATCAGTTTTTAACAAAAGAATAAAAATTTAAGCAAATTACTATTTTCATTATCATACATATGATGTAATGATAAAAGATTCTACAGCAAATAATTGCATTAAGAACGTGTTATACGTATTTTTTTAACAGAATAAAAAATTATGAAAAAATTATTAATTTTTTTATATAGTTTATTTATTTATTTGAATATAAAAAATTTTAAGCGGTGATTTAAAACCTAGATTAGAAATTATTTTAATAAGAAGTAGATCATATTATTTTAAAAATAATTGAGATAAAATAAAAAATTTTTCAAATTATAAAATATACGTATTGAACTTCATTGAATTGTTTCACATTTATATATTATTAATTTTTGTACGGAAAGTATAAATTTCCAATCATTTTTTATAGAGATTATATACTTGATATATCCTGAAGTGTTTTTTAAAAAAATAATCGCTTCAATATTACCTTGCATCACAGCTTTGCAAAAAAAAAATTGTTCCAGTAATCACTCATTTACGTTTGTACACCTACAGTTTGCAATGTGTTAATTAAGCCCAATCAGAGAATAACTGGTTGATCAAGTTTCCTATCACAAAGTAGCTTATACGTAAAGTAATCCTGCGCGACTTGGAGAAATCTTGTTCTCAAGGGACGAAAAGGATCTTCTTATCTGGCGCGATTTTTTTAAAAAGTTTTTTCAATAGTACCTTAGTAAATTCGGATCCTTGTTCTCTTCGTGTGTGCAACTAGTGGTGGTACCAGAATTGTGTCAGGAGTATTACAACCGCACCCACGACTCCACGTCAAAATGACATGGCCCGACGACCGTACGCCTCAGAGGATGACACCGCGGGGAGAGGTGTCCGTCCACCGGGGAAAAAAATACCTCTCCTCTTCTTTCACGAAAGCGGGAGACAAACCGTGGCACGTCGTGGTCGCTCGACAAAGTGGCAGCGCCGCGCACCAGCTTAGCCGGTCCGCTTTATAACTTTGGTGTCTTGGTATCCTCTGCCATCCGTGGTTTTGGTGGTGGACGATCAGAACGTCGGAGGTGGTATCTTCTGCGAGCATAAGCGATGTAAACGCAAACGAGGCCAAAACCATGGATCGTGGTGGGAATCGATCGTGGGGATAGATCAGCCGAGATCGGTCAAGGAGAAATGCGTGAGGTAGGATCCTCAGGATCCCACCCTCTGATCGCTACCAGTCTGCTCTCCCCCCCTTTTCTATCAATCTCGCGATGAGATCTACGAATGGAGACAACAGCCTGTAGGCCTTTTGTAGATTTCTACTTCCGCTTGCAATTTGATGAATTCGAATCCTTAAGCAGTTCGTGTGTTGATTAAGTTTCTTAAAATAAGATGAATATGACATGTAAGAATGACTACACACTATAAAAATGATTATTGAACATTTCAATTTTTATTTCTTTGACCCATCCGCGACCTCTTATTAGTTTTCAAAGATTGGTATCAAATATACTTTTAATTAGATCTGCTTAATCAATTTAATGTATTATATTATAATTATAAAGTTAACTTGTTGCATATTTAAAATAAAATTCATACAATTCTGTTTGTGTATATATATATATTTATCTTTATCAAAATGTAAATTACAATTGTAATTTACGATTGTAAATAACGTGACGCAAAAAAAATGATAATTATATTTCAACGCAGTTCAGTTTTTAACAAAAGTTACCATTCAATAAAAATAATTTTAACACACAACAGTGGAGATAATTCAATCGGTATTGTTTTATCGTCTCGTATTTTGATTCGTCTTGTCAAAATAAGCAATTTAATAATCAAAGTGTCTATAATAATCCTATTAAAAAAGAAATCTCTTGTCAAAACTATTTTATGATTATGCTATTAACATACAATATAATCAATCATCGATCATTACACGCGATATAGTCGATAACATCACTCGTATGATGGCTAAGTAAGCTAATTGTAAACGAGATAACATCTCGGAAGAATTTTTCGGATAAAAATGTGTCGAAACGATTCATCTCTCAGACTAATGGCAGTATGTCGTCATATAGGTCCATCGGCTACACATTACTGTTGTAGCCTCGTTTTCCAGGCGAGAGTCGGAGTACAGGCATCTCCTCACGTTCGTCACGAGACCTTCTCATACAACAATTTTTGCAGCCCAAGAGTCTCGTGTCAGAAAAGTGGGCGCTGGAGCGTTGCGGAGAGGACGAAGAAATGCGAGAAATATCGAGATTCCCTCTCGTTAATCGTAGAAAATATTACCTCAGGATAGTAATAATCTTCAAACGATACGAGAAATCGACGCATATTAAATGTAGAAAACGATAGAAGCATAAATAAAAAGAATTTAAATAAAGCTTGATCAATAAATTCGATTCTCGGAGAAAACTATTGCCCTTTAATATTGTTTTTTAAAACGCATAAAAGACGCGTTTCTTATTTTATTAATTGTTCTAGAATATAAAGACGACTTATATATATAAAATATAAGCTTATATAAAATAATAATAATCAATAAATTTCAAGACTAACGAGAGCCAGCGTGGAATAGGTTGCGCACTATTGATTAGAGTTGAGTAAGATAATATTTTTTTTTAACTGAATAAAATTAAAGTTAATGGCTTTACAAAATTAATAAAGTTAAAAGTTGAAGAAATAAAAAATTAACTTAACGTAAGTTAAGTCAATATTAAATTAATTTACTTAAGTTAAAAAAAAAGTTAATTTTGAAAAAAATTATTTTTTAAATCATAATGTCCTAATTTTTCTTAAAATAAGATTAAATAACTACGATATAGATTATTAAGTAAATTAAATTTTTAATTTTTGTATTCATACGTGATATAAGTATATAACACATAACGATATAACTATATAAGTTATATAACTTTAAAAAAACAGTCAGCACATAGAGAAGATACAAGATCAGTGATTACTTTTTGATAAGCCTTAAGAAATTGACCAACTACAATCGAATGCGAGAAGAATATTTGACTGTAATTGGTCAATTTCTTATGATTTAAGACATAACCGCATAAATTAGAGAGCTGTATTAGCATCTTAAGAAATTACTTAAGATGGTCTTAAAATATGAATAGATTACGAATGTACGCTTTTAATCTTATTATATCTTATTATTTTTCTAAGATATTTAAAAAAGAGATAAAAAAGTTTTTTAACTTAAAACAAAAAGTTAAAAAGTTAACGTTTAAAACTTAATTAAATTAAAATTTAATGCATTTAAAATTAACTAAGTTAAGTTAAAAGTTATTAACTTTTTAACTTTTTTTTAACTTTTAATGTTTTAACTAATTATTACCCAATTCTATTATTGATTATTAAAATTTTCATAAAACTGATGTCTTTTTTATTTCGAAATCTTGAACGTTTCAACTCACTTTGGAGTCATTCTCAGCAATATTAGAATTAAAATTCGTCAAAATTCTGTTAAAAACGTTAAGTATATGTCTGACACATGGAACTATACAGAGCTATAGAAATCTCATTCTGGGAGAGTGACTCACTTCTGGACAGACATTTGTCACTTAACGTTTTATTTTTGACAGAATTTTAACAAATTTTAATTGTAATATTGCTGAGAATGACTCTAAAGTGAGTTGAAACATTTAATATTACGAAATAAGGAAGACATCAGTTTTATGAAGAAGTAATTCTAATCAATAACTAATCAATAACTACGCACAACCCTTTCCGCGTTGACTTTCGTTAGCCTTGAGATTTACTTATTATTATTATTTTAAATATAGAGAATCTGTTCTGATTATTATATTCTTATATAAAATCTAATATTTCTTCGTAAATGCGACGAAAAGAGAATTTTTCTCTATGTAGCAAATGTGGCGCGAAAAGAAAAACGGCGATCAAGGAGAAAGCGATGTGGAAGGCACAAAACCTATGTCAATGATAATCCGATGAATTGAAACGGGTCAATGGACCGCTCGCTGACTGTGTAGCACGGTTCCAAAATCCAAATCGTTTGGTCCATGCACCAATGTGTCTCTATCGGCGCCTGTTTACCTTTCACCTAGTCATGATTTACCATTTACGCTTAAATGGACCGGTACCACTTATCTACAAATTCACAGATTTCACCGACACTGCTAGTAAAAACTATCTCGTATAAAAAGTCCATAAAGACGTCCGTTATTCTGTCGCCGATAATCGATTCGGACGAATTGGAGAAGAAGTTTCTTCCGGATTGTTAGAAAATAAACAAGTTCTTCATAAAATTTTTATGCAAAAATCTCGATCAATAAAGATTGCATAAGAATTTTGTTACAGGAGATCTTGGAATGTGCATAGAGAAAAACAAACTAATATCGTCACATTCGATATACAGTCATTAGAAATTTAATGATCTTTGGGATTTTTATTTCCTTTGCAAAGTCGTTATGCATTTCCTTTCTGCGAAGAATCATACGAAAGACAATTACGCACTTTTATGAAGAGATTACGAAAGCAAGCATTTAATTAAGTTATTAAATTAATTCAATTCAATTAAATATGTGATAATCGTCGGAAACAACCTCTCATAAGATATATTGATTAATGAGTAAATTATTAATGAGTAAATATAAGTATCCTTACTTATATTTACTCATGAAGTGACATTTCAATTGGTAAGCTTTTCTCGCATTTCTCATTGTTCATGAATGAAACAGAACTGTCAATAAGTCATCATTTTCTCGTATCAGATAATATCTGATACGTGACAATTACAGACATGTGACATTTATCTGACACTAATTTGTATGATACATTCGCATGCGAATGATTGGAATAAAAGAGTAAAAATTGAGGTGTCGCATTCTGAATATTCTGATAATTTAATATGCTGTTTTTAACGGCTGACATATCTTGCACGAGCCTTATCGAAATAATAATAAAGAAAAAGAAATAAAACGAAATCTGTTTCACGTGATCTCTTAGCCGTTTAGTGGGCCGCCGGAAGAACGGATCAGAGTCAGCAGGTGAGATATATATATACTGAAAGCTGGGTTACTGGGTACTGATGGGATCGCTATATCGTTGTATCGGTTGTAAAGGAGCATCAGCGTTGTTATCAAATTGCTCTTTTTATCGTGCATGAGAAAACCAAAGAAAATCAAAGATGGACAAGAAAAAAAAGGTCATCTGGAATCGGATTCACAAAGAAGAAAATGAACACGTATCACTTTCAGAGCGAGGATTTCTATGATTGATTAATTTCGAACGGTAAACTACAAGGCATAGTAAAAGGCGGTACCGTTAGAAACTAGCGAATTTGTTAGAACGGCATTTATTCATTGAACGAGCAATTGATCCGATTATTTGCAGTTAATAAGTTAGGAAATAATAAATTAAGAATAAACTTATGTTATTGCCTTTAATTGATAATTAGATTGTGTCATAATTAGTTTTTTATTTTATGCTAATTTATTAATAAGTTAATAATAATAAAAATAAAAAAATATATACATTTTATGAAGAATTAATATTAAATTTTAATAAAATACAATATATATTAAATATTCATTAGCATTCATAAATATGCATTAAATGCAGAATACTTTATAAATAAATATTCCGTGTTCAACATTAATTTAATAACATATAATGCAAGATGCGTGTGCTCGTCCAAAAGAAATCTGGCTAATATGTGTTCCCCGAGGCGAACTTTCCTTCAAGTATACTTTTTTGGCTCTGTGCGGATGACCGTCGAATCTTCACAAAGTAAAACGGGTTTGTAAAGAATGCAAAATGTGTCCTTTAATGGCATAGTGATGTAATTAAATGAAAACGCGACACTGAGGAACCCTCTATTAAACTGAAACATTTTCCAGAAACATAGCCATAATTTTTGTACAGCCTTTGATTTAATATGATATAAAGCACAATGGATAACGCAAGTAAAATAAAATAAGAACGAAATCATGCGTAG